AGTGGCTGGTCCCCGGAACTGGAAGACTTTCTCAATGTATATAAGTGGTAAGCTCTTTTAGAATGGAAAATTTGAAGAAGAAGGAGAATCGATTAATTATTTATATTAATTGCCATTATGTGAATAATATGTAATCAATAGAAAAGTAACTGCAGTCTGATTACGAGTATTTTAAAATGTAATCTAATCTAATTACAAGTACTTCATTTTTGGAATCTGATTACATAATCCAGATTACATGTAATCAATTACTACCCAGCACTGATTATATATTATATAATACATTTATATACACTATATATAATAGAGTACATAATACAATACATGTACATATTATATCTTATACATATTACATTTACATAAATGAGTACTAGTTCAATAATAACAGATTGTCTTAAAAGAAATAATTCTTTATGTCTCTCAGTTTAACTTTGTAGGACATGTTTGATGAAATCGGGCCGAGGTTAGCTGCTGGTCATTCTTTCTTTCTCTTGTCTGACCAGAGGATTTTACTCACGCATGAAGTTCTGCTATTGATTCTCAAAGAGAGCAGTGTGTTAGTACACAGGGCCAAATTTTGGATCCTTCCCATGCCCTTTCATTGATCTGTTTAGGAGTATAATATGGACACGCGGAATACATGGAGGGGTCATTTCAGTTTTTAAACACAGGGTACAAGTAGACAAGACTGAAGCAGGATCAAAAGAAGATGAAATGCCTTTGATGCTGATTGAAATATTTCAACTGCAAAATCAAATTAAATGCATCTTGAAGTTATGTCATTAGTATGCATGTTGGGTTTGAACTGTGTTGCTGAGCACAAAACTATGGAGACAGTAGTCTACTGTCAGTCTCCCACTAACAAAATATTGACCAGGAAACTAGATGTTTAATGCATTAGATGAAAAAATACAGTTAGCTGAGGATCATAATATGATAATAATGTTGCCGGAAACCTCACACATCTAAACCTCCTGGTTTCCCGGAGTTACAGAGTGAATCCTATTTCTTCAGCATAAAGAACTTACATTTCACTTACTGAATGACAGTATATATAGTGTCACCTTTATAAGTGCTTTCTAGCAGATTTGTAGAAGCCCATGTAAGCCACTGAATAAAAAATAAAGAAGGTAATTGTGACTTTTTATCTCACAATTCTTTTCTCGCAATTGCGAGTTTACATCTTGCAGTTCTGACTTTTCTCAGAATTGCATGATATAAACGTGCAATTGTGAGTTATAAACTCAGAATGGCAAGATATAAAGTCAGAATTGCTAGATATAAACTTGCATAAACCTTTTTATTATTATTACTTTTTTCTTGCAATTGCGAGTTTGTATCTCACAATTCTGACTAATTTTCTCACAATTCTTTACTCAGACTTGCAACTGCGAGTTAAAAAGTCCAATTCTTAGGGAAAAAGACTGATATTTTCTTATAATTGTGAGTTTATATCTCACAATTCTGACTTTATAACTCACAATTGCATGTTATAAAGTCAGAATTGGGAGATATAAACTCACAAGTATGAGAAAAAAGTCAGAATTGTGAGTTTATATCTGCCAATTCTGACTTTATTTCTCAGAATAACTACTTTATTTCTCAGAGTTGCGCAGTTTATATCTCGCAATTCCAGCTTAATTTCTCAGAAATGTGAGTTTATATCATGCAGTTCTGACTTTGTAACTCACAATTGCGAGTTTATATCATGCAATTCTGGAAAAAAGTCAGAATTGTGAGACAAGTCGCAGTTACCTTTTTATTTTCTTATTCAGTGGCAGAAACGGGCTTCCATAGATTTGTGATTTGTCTTCAGTAAATGCATAAATTCTTCAAGTCTGTCATGCGTCTGCACCCTAAAAGCTTCTCTGTTTTAGATTAAATGTAGCAACACTGCAGAAACTAATGGCTAAAAATAGTCAGTTAAAAATGGTACTTGTGATGCATGTATTTATCAACAGTTTTCCTTCACAGTGACAGAAAAAGAGAAAACTAATATATCAGGCAGCAGAATGCAAAATTACGGGGTGTTGCAAAGAGGTTTGTCTGGTGGTTTAGTATTAGATTCGGCAAAGCTCATAATCTGTTAAATTCAGAGAGAAGGGTAAGGTCATCTGCCATGTTCGTGAAGAGACAATTTACCCTCCCGCATCTTCTATCTGATTTGCATACATATATTTATTTGACACAAATAAGAAACAAGCAGCTCTTGATTTTTCTGTCAGGAATCCAGTTTAAATGCTGTGCCTACTCTAATGCCAAACCGCAAGGGGTGCAACATTGCAATGTGTCAGGATTATACCAACTCGAATGAACAAATTGTATTTTAAACCCAGTTCGTTTAATGATTCATTGCACATTCAGAACAAAACATCCTCATATACCCACGAGCGAAATCAAAAGTCTCAGCACAAACGTTCACAATGACAAACAGAAACAGCTTAATATTTCAGTCCGATCCTGTTGATGTATTTCCTCTGGGTTTGAATGAATGGTGAATGATGTTTGGTGAATAATGTAGATCACATCACAAACTAAATGTGTTCATTGATATGAGTCATTACTCTATATGAGTGAAATAACATGCATTGGCATCTGTCTACCACAGAAACATACTCACTTGTGCTGTTTTAAACTCTTTAAATAAAGGGTAAATTTGTGGTAAATGAATAGTTCACCCAAAACTATAAATATGCCAAAAATATACTCCAAGATGTAGATTTGTTTGTATCTTCATCAGATTTGGAGAAATGTAGCATTGCATCACTTGCTCAGCAATGGATGCTCTGCAGTGAATGGGTGCCGTCAGAATGAGAGTCCAAACAGCTGATAAAAACATCACAATAATCCACAAGTAATCCACACCACTCCAGTCCACACGTTTTGAGAAGCGAAAAACTGTGTCTGTAAAAAAACAAATCCATTATTAAGATGTTTTGACTTCAAACCATTGCTTCAAACCGTACGAGTCCTCCATAATATTGATTTATCCAGTGAAAAAGTCATCTCATCTCGATCAGGAGAGAAATATGCACAGATCAAGCGCTGTTTACAAGCAAATACAGTCCAAAAAAAGTCAGTGGATTTTGATGTGAGAGGATGGACCTTTTCACTGGAGGAAGCATTATTATGGATTGTTTTTTGCGCTTTAAAATGTCTTAATGACGTATTTGTTTATTACAAACACTCCGTGCTTCATGTCACGATACATTAACTGATGGACTGGAGTGCTGTGGATTACTTGTGGATTATTGTGATGTTTATATCAGCTGTTTGGACTCTCATTCTGACGGCACCCATTCACTGCAGAGCATCCATTGGTGAGCAAGTGATGCAATGCTACATTTCTCCAAATCTGATGAAGAAACAAACTCATCTACATCTTGGATGGCCTGAGAATACATTTTCAGCAATTTTTCATTTCTAAATGAGCTATTCTTTCAAACTCTCCATCAGTTAAACACAGTATCGAATAATGCAAACCACATTCACATACGAATCCTGCCGTTCTCATATGTGCATTGCATCTACAGGTGGAACGCCGTACAAAAGTGCAGTGCTGTCCGTGCACCGACTATGAGCATCACCAAGTAATACACACTTGTGATTATTGTGTATATATACAATCTGTTTTTTTATTTGAGAGGTTTGTCTAGATGCCGTGAAATTGGTTTCGACTTTAATGTCATTGTGCCAAACAGGACCGGTCCCTTTAGGAGTCACTTGAGGTTCACTGAATTGTTAATTGTGCATCTTGCCGCATGATTACACAGACGAGCCAATTAAGCCTAAGCAAAGAAGAAGTATGCGCTGAGAGCTCTGTTGTGTTGTGCACTAATAGGCTCGGCGAGCCTGCAGGAAATCATTTTAGAGCCGATATTTTTTCAAGAGCTCCGACTGCCACATGTACTTCTTCTCCGGAAAGCGCTCTGGAATTTTAATCCGCCGGAAGTCCTGGATGCATTTCTCCAGCTCCTGCTCCGGAGTCAGCTTCTCCTTGGCCGGCTTCCTCTTCCCTGCCATGGCGTCACGCGGCCCGGCGGTTCGAACGCGGAGCAGATCGGTCCTCCTGGGAATCGGGGTCGGACCCTTTTTCACCGGCCGGTCCAGAGTCTGGATGTTGGGCTGGCGGGTGACCGGACGCACGATGACCGTTTCCTGCGGAGAGCTGGCTTCCGATTGGGTCTCGGAACAGGGAGGGGAGAGCTCGTTGAAGGAAGTGCCACTCTCACCCTCGCGCTCGCTCTTGTGGCTCTTGCAGCAGCAGTCGCAGTGAGAAGAAGACCATCCGGATGGGCCACCTTAAAAACACAAAACCCACAGATGTCAACAAAGCACATAACAGAAGTCGCATTGGGAGTCTATTCGGAAGTCAGTGCGATTTTGTTGTAGGTATCAGTTTGCAGAACGGTCCGTTTAGGAATCAGAATTTGTGAAACCTGATAACAAAGGTGAAAGAGCTGAGGTGAACCAAGATATTCTTCATTTCCCGCACTATAACCAACACAAATGCTCCTCTAATGGCACGGATGTTTCTCAGTTTACACAGTCGATGCTTAAGTAGCCCATTTAAAATGCATCATATGCTCAAAGGGAAATTACACGATGAAATGCATTAATATGCACGAGTGCGAGCCAGTCGCTTGGCATTGAGCAGGTTGACCTTATTAAAGACATAAAGAATCCACATTTAAATCACCGTCTGAACTATAGGCATCGATCTGTTTTGTGTTTTAGACAAAGAACTGTGCTAAAACCACAAAGGGCCGAGTCCTTGTCTCAAAAAAGATAACAGTGTGCATCAGTCGCTTTTGTTATCTGATGGATATGTGCATGCATCAAAACAGAGAAATCTCCAAACATCAAAGTATTAGCTGAATGAAGGGACGGAACACCTTCAAATGCATTTACATATTCATATTTCCGTATAATCCTTGAGTGCGATAGAGGTGGAGAATCTGAGCTCTGAAAACAGTTAGTGAACATGCTTTCTATTTAAAACTAAATTTAAATGTCTGAAAATCCAACTTTGAAGCACTTGTGAAACAAATGTGAATGAATGACATCCCGTTCACCTTCACAGGCAGACCGCAAACCAACCTCTAGCTATTCTGTTTCCTGGCAGGCCTTTACCGGCCCTCCAGCCCAGGTGTCTCCTTCAGTTCATGGACACAAAGCACCTCCCACTGCAGGGATCCTGCTTGAAGAACTGGATGTGAACGTGTCCGGGTCATATTTCATGTCAAGATCAAGGCAAAAATTATATTTTGTATAAAGAAAATAAGTCTTTTTTTCAAGACCATTACAATTCTCATTATTACTGTAATGCATAAATACATTAAAACAATGTTTAAATAGCAAAGAATTTATACAACATGGTATTAAAACAAATTAGTTATGACCATTAAATTATCTTTAGTCTAATGAATAAATAAATGTAAGTAGCAAAGACTTTATATGTCATAGTATTAAAATTAATCATTAGTTAAGACCATTAAAATTATCTGTGATAAAAGAAAACATTTATGAATTTATAAACCATGGTCCTTTATCGACCATAAAAATTCTCATTAATGCAAAATGTAAATAAATAAATGCATAAATAAAAAATAAACAATTTAAACAGTTAAGACCATTAAAATTCTCTGTATTGTGATGCAAAAAGAAATGAAAATTTCAATAAATAAATAAATGCAAGTAGTAATGATTTTATATGTCTTGGTATTAAAATGAATCATTAGTTAAATCCATTAACATTCTCTTTGTTGTAATGAAAAAAGAAAATCAAGTTTAAATAAACAATTACACATTTAAACACCATGGTAAATGGTCCATTATGTACCATACAAATTCTCATTAATGCAAAATGTAAATAAATAAATACATGCATAAATAAAAACAAATAGTAAAGAATTTAAACATTGTGGTAAAATGAAGTATTAGTTAAGACCATTAAAATGATCTTTATTGTAATGCAAAAATAAAATTAAAATAAATAAATAAATACACCACGATATTAAACATTTATATTTTTAAGATCATTAAAATTCTCAATATTGAAATGTGAAAGTAAATAAATAAATACATGCATAAATAATAAAAAAGGGATTTTAAACATTGTGCACTAAATTAAAGCATAGTTAATATAATTACAATTCTAATAAATAAATAAATAGTAAAGCTTTTATAGATCATGGTGTTGCTTGTTTTACTTGCATTTATTGATTTGATTTTTTTTTTTAAACATTAAAAACATTTTCTTCACAGTAATGAGAATTTATAATGTTTAAATTATGATAATTTGGTTTAAATAATTTGGTTAATTTGATCATTTGGTTCAATAATTTCTTAATGCATTATTTAATTTCTCATGTAAATTGTTCCTATAATTTGGGTGATGCAATATGACCTGGACATTAAATTGAGAGATTCACCCACCCAAATCACAGTATGTATGATCTTTCACATTTGTGTGTGTGTATATACAGTAATCGCTGCTGTGTTTTCTCAGTCCAATCCCTATGAATCGCAGCTGTGGTTTCGAGAACATAAAACGCAATATCTATAGCTTGACAGAGGCTCGATAAAATAAGTCTGACGTTTACTCCCCAGGGGTCACCGTATCTCCACCTTCCTGTTATTGGTGTTTCTCATGTATAGAATTTCAACCCTTTTCCCATCAGCTTGACATACTATTAAAAAGAATGATCACCAATGAGACGTCATCTGCATAGAGGGATGCTATTTTACATCTGAGTATCGTTATTAGCTAAACACGACTCTCAGAAGCAATAATTTGTGTTCATTGTGTCTCCGAAGCTGCTAATTTATCCTGATTAATAACAAAATCATTCAGCTGAGCTGCAAATACATTTTACTGAATGCATTAACAGGCTAATTGAAGGCGGTGTGATTGCTAGTGGCTTTCTAATGGGATCCATGAATCTGACACCAGAATAAGCAGAACATTTCCCTGCATAACTATTAAAGCAGGTTCTCCTCTCTGAGCATATGAAGGGTAAATAGAAAGGCTTTTACTGAAGAATTGTTTCTAAGTGGATGGTGCAGCCTGATGGGACCACAAGTCAAGAAGCATGGCGAGCAACAATGCCATAAAATGAAATAATTGTCACCTTTTATTCTACTAAACAAAACACATCAGTAGTACCCCACTCAAGACTTGAAGCTTTTATGTGTCTTGACAAAAAAAGAGACTGCTAACAAGTGGCTAAATAGAGGTTGTCAATGACATTAAACGTCCTCGTGCAGAGCTGGAAAACTCATTTACTTACTAGTCTGCTTTTACAACCTTGTACTTGTACTCTTGGAAACTCAAACTTGTAGATTGCAAATAATGATTGAAAGAGTGAGTTGTTGGAAGCTTAGTGATCAGTGTTGGGTAAGCTACTCTAAAAAAGTAATTAATTACTAGTTACTAATTCTTCAACAGTGTAATTAGATTACTGTACAAATTACTCTCTCCAAAAAGTATTCAATTACTTATTATTACTAATTACTTTTTAAATCCTATATCAATCTCGACAAATTAATGATACAAGGATAGACATGAAACGGTTCTTTTAATTCTTTCAAGTAACTACATAAATTATTTTCATAAATTAATTCCAATTCGCTATTAACAAAACTATTAACTATGACTTTTGCCTCAATATACACCTAATTGCTG